GAGTTTCAGCTTCAGCATCAGTCCTTCCAATGAACACCCAGGACTGATCTCCTTTAGGATGGACTGGTTGGATCTCCTTGCAGTCCAAGGGGCTCTCAAGAGTCTTCCCCAACACCACAGTTCAAAAGCATTAATTCTTCAGTGCTCAGACAATTTGCTCATCAATTCTTTAGTGCTCCAATAGGAAATGGGAAGCTATTTAGTGGTTTTAAGCAGAAGAGTGTCCCAATCAGATTTCCATGGTGAAGAGATTACTTGGTCTGCAACATAGAATGTATATTGGAAGGGAAGTGGTCTGAGTGGATGGGGCAGGAGACCAGTCAGTAAGATAACTGCAAGCCCCAGCAGGAAATGGTGTTTGCTTCTGTCAGGATGAAGGGGTAGAGATAAGTGAGTAGATTTGAGTGATAGGTGAGAAAAAAGCTGACAGAACATAGTTATGATCAAATATGAGAGGCTGAGATTGACAAGACAGTCCAGAATGATCTCTGGGCTTCTGGGTCGCTGAACAGGATTGATGGAGGTATCAGTCACTGGAAAAGAGAACCTGGGAATAGAGCCCCATTTCCGGTGCTGGGTGTAGGGCTGTAGGTACCACAATAGGGTGATGAATAGGAGGTCATGTGACAAGTCACATGATGTTAATACCTGACTCTTGGTATTCACATCCTTATACAATCCCTTTCTGGGTGACTGGACCTACTGCTTTACTTCTAGTGAATAGAATAAGGCAAAAGTGATAGAATGTCACTTCTGAGAGTAAGTTATAAAGAGACTGCTCTCTTCCCCTCCTTCTCTCTCTGCATTCTCACTCTGGGGAAAGCCAGCGGCCATGCTCTAAGCAGCTTCATGAAGAGGCACCAGGGTAAGCAACTGATGTCTGTGAGCAACAGCCAGTGTGGATCTGAGACCTACCAACTGCTCCATGAGTGGGCTTAGAAGCAGGTCTTCCTCTGTCTCCCTGGGCTGACTGCATCCCTGGCCAATGCCTTGATGTCAGCCTCCTGGGAGCCTGAGCTAGAGGAGCTTACTCCTCCATGCCCAGATTCCTGACCCACAGAAACTAAGAGATAATAAATGTGTGTGGTTTAGGGCTTGGGGGTAATTTGTTACACAGCAATAGATAATTAATACAGATGACCTAAATAGATGCATATCTTATATGAAAAAATATTAAGTTGAAAATTTGATATAGATCAGGAGCACAGAAAATTCTGAACTAAAGTTATAAACTTGATATGCATGCATCCTGAGAGGCAAAGTATAAAATGGAGGAGGAGAGATTCTCAAAACAAGTCCAGAGGATCTCCATAATGTACCAGCAAGAAGAGAGAGATGATTTTGCAAAGGAAACAGAAAAGTAACAGCTGGAGAGATGGAGAGAAAGTTAGCAGAAAGTTGAATCATATAAGTCAGTACAAGGCAGTGTTCCTCCAAATTAGGGAATGTCAAGTAAAAGAAATATGAAATACTGTTTTAGGTATGAAAGTAATAGTTCACAATTCCAGCGAAAGTACACGGTAGGACTGGGAAACAGAACAGTATGGATCGAGGCTGGGCGATAAGAGAAATGGAGACAGAAAATACTGGACAGAATTTGACCTCTGAAGGTGAGAAGAGAGATCAGGTAGGAGCTGAAAGTGGATTATAATTGTTATTTTGTTTTTACATGAGAAGACATATAAATAAAGCAGGAAAGATTCAGGCAAGAGAAAAAGGAATATACAGGAAGGAAAAAGAAATAGAAAGTGTAAGCTTCCTGGAAGGCAAAGGGGGGTTCTCCTTAGACGGGAGGTTATTAAATAGCTGTGTTATTAGGACAGGAGACCCGCAGGACAGCTGCGGAAATACTCAGGAGATGGAGAAAGCTTCTGTGTGAGATCCTACTCTCCCAGCACTTCAGTACGAGGAGGACAGGGAAGAAAAGAAGGGAGGCTGGAGGCTTCAGGAGAGGAGAAAGGCTTGGGACAGCCCCTGCGGAGATGGGAAAGTGAGAGATAGGCCTGTGGCAAGCTCCTGTGTAGTGTGGAGACCTGTTCAAAGGTAATGATCTTGAACTTATAGGGGAATCAATCTGTCTCATTGGGTAGTACTCAGATGCTTGGATGTAGGCACAGAGAAACAGAAAATTGGGTTCAGAAGTGGAGACAAACGGAGGCAACAGAGGGACCGGGAAGTCTAGGGCAGTAGAGATGTGTAGGGCAGAGAACGGAGTCTAGAAATACTGCTCATGAACTCCCATCATAAGGGAAGTTAAGAAAGGGGAAAGTTGATGAATTGGAAGATAGCTGAGGACAGACAGTACTAATAACGTTAAAGAAGGGCTGGTGGGAGAACAGTAGAATAAACAGCAGGAAGCAGGGGCGATTACAGTAAAGCAAAGCAGTACTCAGATTGATAATTTTGGAGGAGTAATATTACAGGTAATGATAATATCCAGGGACTGTACATGGGAGTGGCTGGCCGAAATGGAGAGGAAATCATTGAAGATGCAAGGAAGAAGAGCATCTGAGTGGCCATGGTGATGGACAGGCCACTCCCCTGGACATAGCTGTCACGCAGACTGATCAAGGCTTGGGAGAAGGGGACAAAGAACTGGCTTGTCCAATGGAGTGGTGGGCTTTTTACCCATTGCCAACATAGAGAATGAATGAGAGGAACCCCTGCCCAAAAGATGACAGCAACAGGGGGTGAAGTAGGAGATCTAAATGGCATGAGTGCAAAGAAGCAGGGTTTTAACAAGATAGTGGAAATATAATGTTGGGGAGTTAGAGAGAGACTGCAGCAGACACTGCTTATTCTCTGCTTGATATCTTTATCCCTCTTCTCCCTTACTAACAAAATCCTGATTTTGTTCCGGGATGCAATATGCCAGCAAGTATAGATTTCCTTCCTAGATTCCCTTGCATCAGAGGGTAGCCATGTGGTACACTTCTAAACCGATGAGACCTAAACTTAATTTCACTAGGGAACCTGAGAATGTTTTTGTTTTCCTGATGAAGGCACCAACCCTTAGCTCTGCCTGGAATTCAGATGTGATGGCTGGAGTGCAGCAGCCATATCATGACAAAGAGATTACAAATATGAAGAAAAGGCAAAGATGATCACAGAGCTGTGAGTCTGGATTTTGACCAGCCACTAAACTAATACAAGTAGTGATCTACACCCACATTTCTGATTATGTGAAGAAAGATGAACCCTACTTCATTAAGCCAATTGGTTGAGTTTGTATTATTGGTAATAAACTATGGAAGAAAATAGTAATCACATGAGGGGACTCTCAGAGGTGAAGACAGCTTCAGCAAGAGAGGAGGCAGGAGGTAAAGGAGTGCTATAAAAGAAATTGTGCAGGTAGGGCAATTTGCTAGTTATGGAGAAAGGATTCAAGAGGTCAAGATGGAGGAGAATGAGGAAAGGAGTGCAAGGCTGGGACAGAAGGATGTACAAAGCTTCATAAGAATGATGGTGGAAGGGGATCAAATGACCACTTAGGCATGGAGGCGAAGGCTGCACTTTGGACCCTGACCAAGGAAAACAGAAATGAAAGCCTTGATGTATTTGATCTCCAAGACTCTGAGGGCAAAAACCTGTGTAACCTTCTTAGAGGGATTACCAGGTGTGTAGGTGAGACTATCCTCTTTCTACATCCTGAGTTAGGTGAGAAAAGAGAAATGTCATCCTTCTGGCCTCTCTAGAGAATCAACATGCAGGCTCAAAGCTGCATAATGAGACATGGCAATTCTCTGGATTCCCTCCAGATCTCCCTAGGGGCAGGAACAGAAGCTGCTCTGGGGAGGAGGGGGGACTGCAGGCCACAGGGCCTGCCAGGACTAAGTGAGGGAGGCATTTTGCCCTCTCCTCTGGTAATTGGCCCACAGGGTTGGTTATCTCCCTCGGGAGGTTGGTGTTCCTCTCGTGGAGTCCTCAGAGTCCCAAAGCAGAGTGACAGTGTGTGCCTGGTGGTTCATGCGTATTGCTATAGCAACAGGATTGCCCCTGGAACCATGGGTTCACGGCAAAATGATCAGGACTCTCTTCAAGGTTGCTGGTGCGGGTTTGACCAGGATGCAGGCCAGGTGAGCAGACGTGAAAGCCTGGCATCAGGAATATTCAGGATAGGAACTCCACCCCAAACAGTCAAAAGCTTAGAGAGTCTGAGAATGAGTATAAGCTAAATCCAACAGGGACCCAAGGGTCAAACAGAAGAAGCACAATCCCGTCACCAAGACTGAGGGACATTCCTATGATGAATCTGAGGGGAGAAGGGGCTGGTAATGAGAATCAGAAAAAAAGCCAAAGCAAAAAGGGCTGAGTGTGTGTGACTCCTCATCACGGGCTGCGGGCTGCAGGGCATGGTGACTGAGCTGCACTGATATTCAGGGATGCCGGGAGGACCGTGGCTGTCCCCAGCCCTGGTCAGTCATGGATGGCTTGCCTTCCAGACTCTGCAGACTGCACCCCTTTGCTCTGAGTTAATGGAGACTGATCCTGATGGTGTTAGGACTCCATCCTCACCTCCTGCCTCAATTCTTTGATCTGGCCAGAATTCTCAGTATCTCTTGGAGAGCCATAAAACTGCCACTGCCACCCAGGATATCTGGCCAGTCTCTACCACTAGACTCGGTTCATAATTTATAATATGGATCTCAGCTAGGAATAGAATCTACAGCTCTCTAGGCCAAGACCTAGCAGAATATAAGCTCCATTAGGGAAGGGTCTTTGAGACTTTATCACTGCATTCCTAACACGTAGCACACAGCCTGTCACACAATAGGACTTAATAAACACTGAGTCATGGGTCACTGACAACCTTCCCAGCCCGTGCCTACATTCCAGGTTACTGGACGCTTCTGTGGGTGCCTGCCATCGGCACCATCCTGCTTCTTCCAGAAAGGACTCTCATAGAACCAAGCCCTTTCGCCTCCATGTCGCTGACATCGCCTGTGACCAGAGCTTCCTGGCGTGGTCCACCTGCAGAGACTTTGGTCACCACTGCTGACCTGGACCAGGACAAGATTCCAAATGTCCCTTTGGCCATTGCAGTGGTAGCATCTGTGTCCCTTCCTTGGTGATGACAGCATTAGTCCCCGGGCCTAGACCCGCTCCGACCCAGCCTGCTTCCCCATCTCCGGCAGCTGAGGACTCATCATCCTTCACAGTCAAGGCCTGCGGAGTCTCTGAGAGCAGCAGCCGTAACACAGATGACCTTGAAGATCTCCCAGCTGCAAAAGCCTAGGAGTAAAGATGAGGATTATAGGAATGTAATTTTACTGATTCACAATTGAAGAAGTATAAAGTCTCTTGCCTAGTACACTATCTAAAAGCATATAGTAAACAGTAAGATAGTATATGAAAGTGAAAGTGAAGTCGCTTGGTTGTGTCCGACTCTTTGTGACCCCATGGACTGTAGCCTGTCAGGCTCCTCTGTCCATGGGATTTTCAGGCAAGAGTACTGGAGTGGGTTGCCATTTCCTTCTCCAGGAGATCTTCCCGACCCAGGGATCGAACCCAGGTCTCCCACATTGTAGGGAGATGCCTTACCGTCTGAGCCACCAAGGAAGTCAGAATAGTATATATATACACTATTGAAATTCTATTATACTATATAGCAAATATTTAAGGGCTTCCCAGGCGGCCTTAGTGGTAAAGAACCTGCCTGCCAACGCAGGAGACATAAGAGATGCAGGTTTGATCCCTGGGTGGGGAAGATCCCTGGAGGAGAACACAGCAACCCACTCCCATATTCTTGCCTGGAGAATCCCATGGACCGAAGAGCCTGATGGGCTCCAGTCCACAGGGTCGCAAAGAGTCAGACACGACTGAAGCAACTTAGCACGCACGCACGCACACACACACACACACACACACACACACACACACACACAAGGACATTTACATATTTATTAAATTGGGGGATTTTTTTTGCCAGTATCTCCCATTGGAATGTAAACTCCATGATGTCAGGAACTCTGTTCATTATTTTTAAAACCTTTTATTTTACATTGGAGTATAGCTGATTAACAATATTGTGATAGTTTCAGGTGGATAGCAAAGGGACTCAGTCATACATACATATGTATCCATTCTCCCTCAAACTTCCCTCCCATCCAGGATGCCACGTATTGAAAAGAGTTCCCTGTGCTATATAGCAGAATCTTGGTGGTTATCCATTTAAAATATAACAATGTGCACACGTCCATTCCAGACTCCCTAACTCTCCCTGACCCCAGTTCCTTCCCTCTGGTAACCATAAAGGACTCTGTTCATTTTGTTCACTCCCTAAACAGTGGGTGCCTCGTTAACTGTTGAATAGGTGAATGAATTACTTCTGGATGCTCTCTGAGTGGGCCCTCTCTGCACCTGGAACCCAGTTCTCTGGCTAACTTGTAGCATGCCCATTTTCTCCTTCATCTGATCCATCTTCTCCTGGGCATGTGTGTGTGGCCATTACCTCTGACATTCACTACCACCGTCAAGGCATGGTTCCTTCACTTGCTATCAAAACGGCCAGTTCCACCTCCCACTCATATCTGCCAAAACCACGCTGCACCAAGTTTGTTCGTCTGGGCCCAGGCCTGCCCTACCATTGTCCCTGATAACAACACCAGCGCAAAGATGCCTGGCTGGGTTTCCCACTGGTGAGGAGGTAATCTCTACCCTCACCTTTTATATTACCCACTTCCCAAACAAGGCTGCCTTGAATGAACTTCCAGGTATTTTTTCTAAAAATAACCCTTTTGATCTTTGTAGTCAGTGCCCCTTGTCTAGAAATCTGGCCTAAACCCAGCTCAGTGACAGGCATAGCACTACACCTAGGTATTGGTATCGGACCAAGCTGGCAGACATTGTCTTTTTTCCACTCTGTGACTTTTATTCACTCAGGACCCTCAAGGTCTCTTCTTGGAGCCTTGATGGCAGAGGACTCTGAGACCACCCGTGCCCTAGCACAACCTCACATGTCTGAATCTTCCTGTCGGCCCAGATAGACTGGCCACAACACAAGGAGTTCGGGTCTTATGTTGTAGGTAATGAAGAGCAAGTGAAGACTCTGGAACAGGAGGTTATCTTGAAGAATCAGCAAATTCAGTTCAGTTCAGTTGCTCAGTTGTCTCTGACTCTTTGCAACCCCATGGACTGGAGCACGCCAGGCCTTTCTGTCCATCACCAACTCCAGGAGCCTACTCAAACCCATGTCCATCGCGTCGGTGATGCCATTCAACTATCTCATCCTCTGTCATCCCCTTCTCCTCCCGCCTTCAATCTTTCCCAGCATCAGGGTCTTTTCAAATGAGTCTGTTCTTCGAATCAGGTGGCCAAATTATTGGAGTTTCAGCTTCAGCATCAGTCCTTCCAATGAACACCCAGGACTGATCTCCTCTAGGATGGACTGGTTGGGTCTCCTTGCTGTCCAGGTGACTCTCAAGAGTCTTCTCCAACACTACAGTTCAAAAGTATCAATTCTTCAGTGCTCAGCTTTCTTTATAGTCCAACTTTCACATCCACACATGACCACTGGAAAAACCATAGCTTTGACTTGATGGACCTTTATTGTAAAGCAATGTCTCTGCTTTTTAATATGCTGTCTAGGCTGGTCATAGCTTTTCTTCCAAGGAGCAAGCGCCTTTTAATTTCATGACTGCAGTCACCATCTCCAGTGATTTTGGAGCTCCCCGAAATAAAGTCTCTCACTGTTTCCATTGTTTCCCCATCCATTTGCCATGAAGTGATGGGACCGGATGCCATGATCTTAGTTTTCTGAATGTTGAGTTTTAAGCCAACTTTTTCACTCTCCTCTTTCACTTTCATCAAGAGGCTCTTTAGTTCCTCTTCGCTTTCTGCCTTAAGGGTAGTGTCATCTACATATCTGAGGTTATTGATATTTATCCCGGCAATCTTGATTCCAGCTTGTGCTTCATGCAGCCTGGCATTTTGCATGAAGTACTCTGCATATAAGTTGAATAAGCAGGGTGATAATCAATATATAGCCTTGATGTACTCCTTTCCCGATTTGGAACCAGTCTGTTGTTCCACGTCCGATTCTAACTGTTGCTTCTTGACCTGCATACAGATTTCTCAGGAACCAGGTAAGGTGGTCTGGTATTCCCATCTCTTTAAGAATTCCCATCTCTTCAAGAACCAGTGACTTGGGGATAGACATTTATTGTCATGTACAGGATGAAAGATGAGGGAAGACTCTCAGATATCTTTGGTCATTGTAATTCATTCCCCAGAAGTCCTGATGGAACAGAATTCTACTCCACCCCCAACATCTCTGTGTGAGTCAGTGGTTCCCTCTGAATATTTCTGGCTTTCTTAGCACCTGGTGAGGTATCCATTCACAGCCCTCTGTGGTTAGGTGGTGTCATAACGCTGGTCATGACCTCTCAGGTGGCGGGAGGTGACAAGTGTTCCTTGACTACATAACTGAAACCCTTCAGGGTGTGATGATCAAACGTGGGAGGGAACTACACAACTATGAGGGCACGGCGGTGGTGGTAGAAGGTGTGATCACCCCAGGACTGTTGCTGTAACCATCCACCACATCCGGCAACCCCAGGACGGACACTGCTCTATCAGCCTGATTCCTGAGGGGCCTTGAGGATCACAGGCCCCACCAGGGGCCTGGGAAGAACAAAGAGATTGAATGAGACAGAAATATAGTTTCAGGTCACTGGATTTGGGGGTTCTCATCAGAGGTCAGCCTAGACGATTCTGACCAATGCATCTCCTTCTCTCCTTTCCTCTCCATTTTTCTTAACCAATAATTGATAACTTCCAGAAGGCCTTAAAAATTTCCTTCCTGGCCAGGAGCGTTTGGGAACTCCAAGGATGGGAAAAATGCTAAAATATAATCACAAGAGCTACTATTGAAATCAGACACAATCCCAGGGCTGCACCCTCAGCCATGTAACCGTGGAATGTTGTAATCATGCAACCATCCCTTTAAATACTACTAACTTCCTGCAAGGGCTTTCCTGGTAGCTCAGCTGGTAAAGAATCCGCCTGCAATGCAGGAGACCCTGGTTCAAATACTGGGTCGGGAAAATCCACTGGAGAAGGGATAGGCTACCCACTCCAGTATTCTTAGGCTTCCCTGGTAGCTCAGCTGGTAAAGAATCCACCTGCAATGTGGGAGACCTGGGTCGATCGCTGAGTTGGGAAGATCCCCTGAAGAAGGGAACGGCTACCCACTCCAGTATTCTGACCTGGAGAATTCCATGGACTGTATGGTACAAAACTTCCTATAAACTATAAATCCTTCCAGCACGGCAAGGAATGGAACATCATCCTTCTCTGTCTTCACCAGCTCAGCTCATTAGCTGCCCTTCCAGGAGAGGAATTAATGATCTAGCCATCATTCCAGGGCATTCCAGGGCATTCCTGGGACATGTTATAAAGGCACATGCACAGATTTCCCTTCAGCCTGGCTTGTATTTCATAACTTCTTTTCTCAGTGGGTTAAGCAGAGTTAGACAAGGCCTGGCTCTTAGGGTGAATGAGTGGTCGATGGACTTGGGACCTCTCCTAATTCCCTCTTCGCCTCTGTCTTCTTCCTCCAAGGCTCCCAGGATTTAGATTTAGAGGTATGTGACATAGAAAGACAGGTTGTAAGGCCTCCTGGAAGTTATCAATTATTGGTTAAGAAAAACAGAGAAGAAAGGAGAGAAGGAGATGCATTGGTCAGAATAGTCTAGGCTGGCCTCTGGTGAGGACCTCCAAATCTGGTGGCCTAAAACTAGATTTCTGTCTCATTCAATCTCTTTGTCCTTCACGGGACCCTGGTGGGGCCTGTGATCCTCAAGGCCCCTCAGGAATCAGGCTGATAGAGCAGTCCCCGTCCTGGGTTGCTGGATGTGGTGGATGGTTACAGCAACGGTCCTGGGGTGATCACACCTACCACCACCACTGTGTCCTCATAGTTGTGTAGTTCCCTCCCATGTTTGATCATCACACTAGGGGCAAAGACTCCTGAAGCATCCCATATCTGCAGCCAAAGGGACGCCGAAGCTCACTTTGATCTTGCTAACAAGTGTGGCCATTTGTATTGTGTCAACTTAGCTAAACTGAAACTGTGCCACCCAGATTCCCCTGCATACTCCTGAGTCTGTGTGGACCTAAAAGACACTCTGTGCATGATTTAGAAGGTGGAAGGCGGCATCTTTTGCGCCTAATGGGAAGGTTGCTATAGGGGTCCCCGGCACCTTGGTGGCATCGTGCTATAGCCCTACCCA